AAAAAAATTTGTATCCGTGGTTACACTTTTGTTTTGTTCTGTGTTTAATAGAGACAGGGTCTCACCATGTTGCCCAGGCTAGCCTTGAACTCCTGAGCTCAAGTGATCCACCCACCTTAGCCTCCCAAAGTGGTGGGATTACAGGTGTGAGCCACTACATCCGGCCATTGTTACCCTTTATGTATTTCAGGACCCCTCTGGAAGACAGGAGAGAGAAGTCTTCTTGAGACTTCACTGTAATTTCTTCCCCCAGAACCACCTCTAGATCCTAAGGCTGTCTGGTGGCAGAAGCCATCGAGGCTGCCACAAGAGGCAGAAATTTATACCCAAGATGAGCCTAGTGGTGCACTTTGGAGCTATGGCTAATCTCTAGCTGCCAGTTTCTGACCAGATAGTGCTCATCTTTCAGTACAGTGGGTAGATGTAGTAGTGTCCATACTTGCTTGCCAAAGGGTGTTTCTCCTTGGAGAATAATTGCAAACTCTTCAACAATTCAAAGGAAAGGCAGAGCACTGTTGTGAAATGCCTTGCATCTTTTTGTTTTGCACAATTCCATGAGATAGTTACCATGATTCCTAGATCAAAGGTCAAGTATGTCGAGTTGCATTTGTTTTTCTGGTACCATCGTGGGGAAGAGAAGTTTTGGCTGCTAAATACATTAGCCACACTTAGAAGCATGAAATCAAAATCCCATCTCTATTAAATATAGAGAGATAGCAATTATTAGCTGTTATTTACAAGTTTAATTTATGAATGACAGTCTTAAGCAGTATTCTTTTTTTTTTTTTTTTTTTAAAGATGGGGTTTCACCATGATGGCCAGGCTGGTCTTGAACTCCTGACCTCAGGTGATCCAACCACCTCGGCCTCCCAAAGTGCTAGGATTACAGGCGTGAGCCACCACGCCCAGCCTGATAAGCAGTATTCTTGTCTGTTGCACATTGACAAAGTGTAATTAAATTTTATTTTTGATATTACTCTGGAACTCATGGAATTTCTTCAGGGCAGTTATGTAATGTATCCTTAAGAAATCCTTGGAGGCCGGGCGCGGTGGCTCAAGCCTGTAATCCCAGCACTGTGGGAGGCCGAGGCGGGTGGATCACGAGGTCAAGAGATCGAGACCATCCTGGTCAACATGGTGAAACCCCGTCTCTACTAAAAATACAAAAAATTAGCTGGGCATGGTGGCGCGTGCCTGTAATCCCAGCAACTCAGGAGGCTGGGGCAGGAGAATTGCCTGAACCCGGGAGGCGGAGGTTGCGGTGAGCCGAGATCGCGCCATTGCACTCCAGCCTGGGTAACAAGAGCGAAACTCCGTCTCAAAAAAAAAAAAAAAGAAAGAAAGAAAGAAATCCTTGGTTTCTAGCTGTATTTCTTTTTCTTTTTCTTTTTTTGAGCTGTATTTAATTTCTTTCCTGAGAAATTTATGATAGAGGGAGACATGGTGATTAATGACATTACACAAAATAGATTTCTGAGCCAATGAAATCCCAGCTTAAAACTTGAAGAGAATCTGCTGAAACTACAATGAGCTACTCAGATAGTGGCTCTAAGCACAGGCACCTAATTGACCTTGAATTTGAATCCCGGTCCTCCCTCTTGTGAGCTATATGTTCTTGAGTAAGTGAGTAAGGCTCTTTTTTTTTTTTAGACAGAGTCTCACTCTGTCACCCAGGCTGGATGCAGTGGTGCAATCTCGGCTCGGCTCACTGCAACAACCTTCGCCTCCCAAGTTCAAGCGATTCTCCTGACTCAGCCTCCTGAATAGCTGGGATTAGAGGCATGCTCCACTACGCCTGGCTAATTTTTTTTGCATTTTTGGTAGAGATGGGGTTTCACTGTGTTGGTCACGCTGGTATCGAAACGCCTGACCTTGTGATCCACCCACCTCGGCTTCCCAAAGTGCTGGGATTACAGGCATGAGCCACCACACCTGGCTTGAGTAAAGTTCTTAATCTTTCTTGGTCTCAATTTTCTCATTTGTACATTTAGGAGAGTAACACCTAATTCATAGGGCCATAAGGATAAATAAAGTCATACATCTGAAGAACTACCTAACCTGGCTGGGCGTGGTGGCTCACCCCTGTAATCTCATCACTTTGAGAGGCCGAGGCGGGAGGATCGCCTGAGGTTGGGAGTTCAAGACTAGCCTGATCAACATGGAGAAACCCTGTCTCTACTAAGAATACAAAATTAGCCAGGCGTGATGGTGCAGGCCTGTAATCCCAGCTACTCAGGTGGCTGAGGCAGGAGAATCGCTTGAACGTGGGAGGCAGAGGTTGCAGTGAGCCGAGATCGTGCCATTTCACTCCAGCCTGGGCAACAAGAGCAAAACTCCATCTCAAAAAAAAAAGAACTACCTAACCCATAGCAAGCACATAATATACAGCAGCTGTCATCAGTAACATTACAGTACAATTGGGTAGAGAGGATTCGTAAGTCCCATGTCAAAAAGATCTTTAAATTATTCAAGGCATAAAAAAATTAAAATTATGCAAGGGCATGTGATAATTATTACCCGGCTGGGCTTAGTTTCTCACCTTTGTAATCCCAGCACTTTAGGAGGCCAAGGTGGGCAGATCACGAGGTCAGAAGTTTCAGACCAGCCTTGCCAATATGGTGAAACCCTGTCTCTACTAAAAATAACAAAAATTAGCCCAGCGTGGTGGCACATGCCTATAGTCCCAACTATCAGGTGGCTGAGGCAGGGAGAATCGCTTGAACCTGGGAGGCAGAGGTTGCAGTGAGCCGAGATTGTGTCACTGCATTCCAGCCTTGGCGACAGAGTGAGACTAGGTCTCAAACAATAATAATTATTGGCCGGGCGCGGTGGCTCAAGCCTGTAATCCCAGCACTTTGGGAGGCCGAGGCGGGTGGATCACGAGGTCAAGAGATCGAGACCGTCCTGGTCAACATGGTGAAACCCCGTCTCTACTAAAACTACAAAAAATTAGCTGGGCATGGTGGCGCGTGCCTGTAATCCCAGCTACTCAGGAGGCTGAGGCAGGAGAATTG